TTGCTAATTGTTGTAAATTTCTAAATCGGGAACGTGACTGCTATGTTTGTTTGGTGTTTACAATTTTTGGTTGATCATATGTGCTTAGCAATTTTTCCAGAGTAGCGTAATGCACCACTTTTGTTAAGAAAATATTTTTAAAATCAACTTTGAGTTTCCAAGTAATTGGTTTCAACAAAATTAAATTTTATATTGAAATAAAACAAAGGAAACATACTGGATAAGTAGAATCTATGACCTTTGGATGCTTAAGGGAACAGGTTCAGTTGACTAGATTATGAGCATCGGAGTTGGTAAACAAATTTGTTTGGTGTTTTTTTACTAGAATTGCCACCTTTGTGCTAATACCAAAACTGAAGTTAGCTATTTGTGGCTTCTGCCTTTCTAATAGTATTAAAAACTAGCAATATTGCGTTTGGTATTTTTAAAGAAAGCTATATTATTATAAAGAACTTATAGTACTGTTTCTAAGTTTTTGTTAATTTTGTTTGTTTTGATGATCTACGAGAAAGAGTGTAGAAGAACATGTCTTAATAAAATTCAATTAATACTTACTTTACTTTAAATATCTAATAGTTTAATATTCTATATTCTTAATATTATTATAAACTTTATAGTTAACTTTACTAATTCTAATTACTAATTAATCTTATATATTATATTTAGCACTTTCTCTATAACAATTTACAATTATATTAAAACTTTTTTAAACAAACAAATATCTTTTTGATCAATCTTGTTAACAATCTTCTTATCTAATAAAATCAAGATCTATGGTTTATATGTAACATATTCTAACATTAATGAGAACTTACTTAAAATATAACTATTAAAACCAAATACACAAAAATTTACTTTTTAACAATATCCATTTCTACTAACAATATTTTGAGAACTACATAACCTTTTACAAGACTTTATTTTATCACATGCTTTATATAATATTTTGACTCTCATCTAAGGTTTTCTATAACCTATTTAAACTAGAAAATAATTTGAAACAATTATCTATAAGACTTATTAGAAAATAGAAGGTGTAATAATATCTATTGTAGCAATACAAATATAGTTTAGAAATCTTTATTTTGAAAATTTTTTTTTATAATTAAATTTCTTATTATATCTTGAAGTTTTTATTATAATTTTATATAAATAAATAAATAAAAAAACAAAAAAAAATAATACATTCTATAACTTATATAAATAATATTATTTAGTAAAATAAAAATTCTTAGACTTTTAAATATATTTTAATGATATCTAACAACTTTATAATTTTAACAAAATTAAAATTAATCTAATTAATTTGATCTCTTATATATTTCTCAAAACAAAAAGGAAATTAAATACTATTATATTAATTCTTTATTATAATAATTAAATAATACTTTTATATAAACTATATAAAATTATATTATATTTTGATATATATTTTAATATAAATAGTTTTACTAAATTAATATTTGAAATATTTCAAATTAAAATTAAAAACTTTTTTCTTTAATTAAATTTAAAAAACTTATATTTAAACAAATCTATATATTTTTTAAAATAATATTACAACTATCTTTAGAATATCTTTAACAAATCTTATTTATATTTAAAACATAATGACAAAAACTTTTATAACTCTTTTAATTACAATAAAAAAATATTTTATCTTACAAAAAACATATCTAATTTTTTTTACAAATTCATTATCTTTTAAACTTCTAATATTTTAACATTTAACTTAAAAAATAAAGATTAATAATTAAATATATTTTTAATTCTACTTGATTTTTTAAACATATTAGTAAAGCTAGAACTAAAAACTAGGTTACTAAAATATAATAATTATTTTTTCTTTCAAATATTTTTTTAAATTTTTATTAAAATCTAAAACTTCTCTTTTATTTTTTAATTTTATTTTTTAAATAATTCTATTATTTATTCTTTATTTAATAACTCATTAAATTCATTAAAAATTGATATTTTTATAATAATATTATTAAACAACTCATAATAGTTAACAACTTATATCTTTTATTTTAAAATAACATATATATATAAATTAAAAAATATATATATAAACATATTCTTCTTGATTTATTAAACTTTCTAATCTTATTTAGAATTATACTATTTACTAAATATAATTACATTTTAATCTACCTAATAATATTAATATTTTTATTAATTTTTTAATATAATTATATCTTTTTATATATTAACATTAAATTAATGACCTATTCATTTTAATAACTTTCAAATTCTTCTTATCAAAAATTTATTTAACTTCTTTTTAATTAATAATACTATATTTTTTATAGTCTAATATCTCTAATTTCTACTAACTTATCTATATTAATATATCAAATTTTATTAATATTTTTAATATTAAATCATCAAAAAAAAGATAATATTAATTCTTTTTATATTAATAATTAAGCATTTCACACAGAGTAATTAACCAGTTTTTGAGATAATCATAGGTGCATTTTAGTAGAGTTCTTTATAAAAAATATACTATATTAGGATGCGCATTAATTAAATACGAAGGTTTTATTTTAATATAATCTATATTGTTACATTATGAATAATAGATTTGAAACTAATATAATCTATATTGTTACATTATGAATAATAGATTTGAAACTAATTTATTTAAAGAATTTCCTAAAAAATTAGAAATTATTTTTTTAATTATAAATTGTATATTTTTGATATTTATGCAATTTAAATTTTTTATTTTATAATTTTAATATAAATTTACTAAAAAATAATTTTTATTCTAAAGAAATATTAAAAAAATAAATCAGAAGCATTTTATAGTTAAATTCGGGGCAAGTTTGCCCTGAAATCGAAATGGTATAAGGAATAAGCTTATAAAATTTAAAAACATGTAAAAATTAACAGGTGCAAAACAATTATAGATGTTTTTTATAATAATTATCGAAGTAATATGTGCGCAAAATTTTGTTTCTGTGTGATGTGTACAATCTGCACAGCGAAATAATCACTAAGTGATATTATTGATCTACATCTATAGACAATATACTTCGTTTTAATGGTATTATTTGTGTTGTAGATTGTGGATGCTGTTTCAGTTCTATTTTAGCTTCATTAAACATTTGTTCGATCATTCTAATTTCCTTTTTGTTACCATAACGTCTTTTGGAATTGTTGTTCATTACATGAATACATGTATATGAATCAGAAATCAAAATTAAACAACTTAATAAATTCATTGCACATAATATACATTCTTACTTGTTGTAGACAACCTTAGCGACTCTTGATTGAATTAATTTCTTCGTGCATCCTTAAAATAGTTCAAATTGAAGCATAACTTTGGAACCAAATGAAAAAAAATTACAAAGTAATATTACATACCAAAGCATGGAAACCTTTAAAAATTCATGATAGATAATTAAATTCGTGCTTTAAAATTATTAATTAATATTTCATAATACAATCATATAAGATTATTTATACTCACGTGTTACAATAAAGAATGCAATCTTTATTTTCTCTTCCAACTTCCAATAATGCATTTTCTTCCGCGTGCAGACATTTGCAAGTGCTCGATTTACCACCATCTTCTTGAGAGCAACTTTCACAATTACCTTCATTACAATTCTTTAAACCTCTTGCTGTACCATTATACCCTGTCGCGATTACTCTAGAGTCTTTAACTAATACACAACCAACCTTACGTCTTATGCAATTTGTTCTTGATGCTACCAGATCTGCCAAATTCATGAAATATGTGTCATAATCAGGTCGCAATAGCAATGGATTTGTGATATCAAGGTCATTAAGATATTTGTAAAGATCCGCTTTTTCTGATGAATTTGTGATGACAAAATCAGCCATGTACATTATTTTGTAAATTTCATTCCAATTTTTATCATTTTGGTCCATGAAATCATTGAAATTTTCTTTATTTTCGCTAAAATTTTTGGATCAGCAGTCAGTTAAATAATTTACTAACCGATGATAGTTTTTTTGAATTAAAAAATTTACCGATTTTTCCACCTTGCATATCGAACTCTCAATTCAGCATCCACAGCCAATAATAGAAAAAAAGGACGTCGTCTATCAAGAAAATTATAAATTTTTGTAACTTTTTTGTACTTAAAAAAAAAATTTACATATAAGCAGTGTATAAAAATTTATTTTTTTTGTTATATGTAGAAATTTCTCATAAACATGTATTTGAATTATCATTTTTGCACTGCATACGAATAATGCCAAGGGAAAGAGCTTTCGTTTTTATTTTATTTAATATAACTCGTAAGTAAATTAGTGCCTTCAAGAAGTCGGCTTTCAAATATGTATATCACTGCAAGGACTGAATCCGGCAAATACCAAATAATAAAATTGAAAGCTCGAAGTCTTTTTTTCCCTTGGCAGCACTCACATAAAGATTACCTGCATTCTTTTAATGCATTTAAGGTACAGTCGTCAATACCAAATATTACATAGTTTTTTTTCAAATCCTTTATTACGGAATGTATTAGTTCTTCTGGATTTTTATACTTTTTAGCGTCTAACTCCGTAAACTCATGCTCACGTTTAAGCCAATCGACAATAGTCCTTTTCCCAGAACAAATAGGTCCTATTATCCCAATAAGAATCATATTCAAACTATCAAAATTATCAGAAGGTAATAAATAAATAAAATGGTATGACACTATTTTTTTTTAAAACGGCAACTTTTAAAATATTAACAGTAATACAAAATTTTCGTTATTTGTAATACAAAGTTTTGTAGTCTTTTATTTACAGTTAGATTCAGAAATAGCAATAAAAGGGTCCTTGTGGAAATAATAACAATAAGTCAACAATCATTTTCAATATTTTCTATTATACTATTTATTCATTTTGGTCAAAACTTTATGCATTTTTCCAAATAACAAACTTTGAACTAATTCTAATGGTTCGGATAACTTAGTTATATATTTTTAAGCACTTTTGAGAATGTAACGTTTACTAATAAAAATTATCATAAAAGCTATATTCTAGTCTTCAATGTATACTAATATTCACCGTGTAAACGAATCAAAGAAAGACCAAAGATTTGAACGACTCTGCTTATAAGATAAATATTCTACAATTTATTATCATTAGTAGTTATATTAGTGCTATATATTACTACATTAAAGAAATTATTAACTAAAAAGGTGGTGATTGAGATGTTATGTTAAGTTTTAATCTTGAAGAACTTTTATAATGTGTCTGCTTGATATGCTATTCTGATAATAATAATAAGCTTACCTTTTGATATATCTCTTGTTAAATCACAGGGTAAGTAACATAAATATGATTTGGGTTAGGTGTTATTGTTTAAGTATATTGATTAAAGGTCATCTCTAATATAGATTGTGATAAATAAAAAATATACATATCGGCATGGTTATACACTTTTGATTGTATATTCCTTTTTACATGCATCATATGATTAGGTATACTCATATTTATACATGCGTAACTAAAAATTGCACATTTGTGAGGCTTTGACTCCCAAATATTTAATTTAATGACACCTTATACCTGTTATCGTTATACGGATTAATTAATAAATCATTACGTATCTAATTTGTTGGTCGTACAGCATTTACGAAATGGTTTAGCGAAGCGACAATCATTTTAAAATGGATAAGCAAGATGTAGGTAAGATAAAAATCACGTGCTTTGGCCAAATTTATTTGATCAGCTGCCCAATTTTAGAGTCTATTCTTACATGCAAGTATGACGTCATCAATTTTTTTTTTTTTGTATATATACCTAGGTGCACTTCTCTTTTTCTTACTAGGCCGGTATTATAAATTGAGTGGGAGGGTTTTTTTTTTTTTTGTAAATTAAGGGAGGGGACCATGATTTTTATCTTACCTACATCTTGCTTATCCATTTTAAAATGATTGTCGCTTCGCTAAACCATTTCGTAAATGAATATCGCCGATTTCGGTAAGATAAAAATCACATGCTACTTTAGAGAAAAAACTATTCCAATGCAGAGTTAAGAATTGTAGAAGTCACATTATTACGTTCAAGCATAAGTTTTATTCCTCTTTGATAAAAACGTTGATAGACTTGATTGTTGGACCAGTTGCCTAAAGCTAGGATAGTGGCAAGATCTGCTCCTCTGTTTTGTGCAAAAAATGTTGCCATAACTCTAATATCCTTGGCTGTAGCAGTAGGTGCTGAGTGTACGAGTAATGATTTTATCCATCATGTGATTGTGACGGATGAAGCTGGAGCATGTGGTGGCATAGAAGAAAGAAATACACATTCTTTTTGTTCTCTTGTTGTTCTTAAATGTTGTGTAGTCTCGAGCATGGTTAATAAAGCTACTTTAGGGCTAAGAGATCGATTTTCAAAATCTCCTATAACAATCTTTTTTACCGAAGATCTTGTTGCTCTTGATCCCTGTGTTAATGCTCTTGAATTACTAATTTTGAGTTCTTTTGGGTTAAGACAATTTAATGTAATTGCATTGGTTGTAATGGTCAGGGATGTTAGATCAAGTCGGGCCAAGTCTGAAGGTCGGCTTGCTGTACCTAATGCGCATAAAAAAGCTGTTTTTTGGTTAAGATATAACACAATGAATGTTCTGTGTTATTATTGAGTCTTATAATATAATCGAGTGAAGGTATTAAATCGATCGGGTCATCTGAACGAATTGGTGGTGGGTCTTCGTTATTCATAGCTTGCATTACTCTACAAACATCTGAGTGTTTGCCGATTGGCGTACCATCGATAAAGTCATGAATTTCGCTAATAGCTGACCTATACCCTGCAATTGTATTATATGCTTTTCCTGCCACTAGTTGGTCTAAAAGAAATTCACAAATAATAGACAAACTACAGGTTATTGGGTCCTGCTCTATTATTTCACACCAATCTAGCCACTTTTTAATATTAGAAGAAACTGTCATTGATGCCTTTGGATCGAATGCCTTTGTATATAATAATATTGCTCGCTCAGAGAAATTTTTCTCTTTGAGCTTACTCCTGATAAGAGCCATGCGAATATTTTTCACTGGTTGAACCTCTATGGGATCTTCGTTGCGCTGGGTCCCTGTATCATACAATGGGATGGTAGAAGGATTGGCTGCTCTATTAGTAGAGACTGAAGTGTTGGGAACCATGGGGCTGATGGCCACCATGGAGCTATTAGACATATCGTAGTTCGTTCTCGTATTACTTTGGCTAGAATCTGAGGAATTAAAATCCATGATGGGTTGGCCCATCCTTTTATCTTGTTCCACGACTGGTTTAGTGCATTTGTTCCTTTTGCAAATGGGTCTGGACGCCATGAAAAATATCTTGGAAGTAGCGCATTCTTTTGGTCTGCAAAGAGGTCGATTACAAATAGACCCCAAATTTGATTTATTCAGTTGAACATGTGTTTCTTTATTTTCCAATTGAAGGGTTCTGGTTTTTGCCATGAGACTTGATCTGCCATAATGTTCATAGTGCCTGGTATGTGTTCGGCTATAATTCAAATGTTTTTTGACAAACAGAAATTCCATATTTTTTCTGTTAACTGGCTGAGATTTGTGCTTATTGTTCCACCCTGGTGGTTTAAATAGGCTACTACCATGATGTTGTCTGATTTTACCCGGATGGTGCAATTCTGAATTTCTTTGAAGGATCGAAGCCCATGATCTATTGCTTTCAATTCCAATAGATTTATGTGCTGTATTTGTTCTTTTCTGTCCCAAAAACCATATACTATACGTTTTCCTATTACTGTACTCCAACCCGTTAGGGATGCATTGGTGAACATTGTAATTTGTGGTGTTGCTGGTATTATTGATTGACCGTTCCAATATTTCAGGTTCTTTATCCACCATTTGAGTTGAGTTCGACTCTCCATTGATAGGGTCAGGTATGAGTTCCATCCCCTGAGTTTGAGTGCAGTAATCTTGTCTCTCAATAGTGCCCGTGACTTCAATCGATTGGGAAAGACTGTTGCAGTTGCTGCAGTCAATTTCCCTATTAATGCTGCCAATTTGCGGATGTGGACTTGATCTTGTAGAAGAAGGGTTTTGCACTCCCTGATAATATCTTTGACTTTCTTTCGTGTTAGAGAAAGGGTCATTTTCTGTGTGTTTATGTGGAAACCTAGATACTCCAAATTTCGAGTTGGTGATAGGTGAGACTTTTCCCTGTTAATGTGAAACCCGCATTGAGTCAACAGTTGGTGTATGATCTCTAAATGATTGAGGAGAGTCTTCTTCGAATTCGCCAAAATTATAATGTCGTCTAGATATGCTACTATACGAATTCCCAAGGACCTGAGATGTGTTATCAGAGGGCAGAAGATCTTTGTGAATATTCATGGACTTGTGGAAAGTCTGAAAGGCAAAGACGTGAATGCGTATCAGGTGCCATTGAAGTTGAAAGCGAAGAAGTGTTAAGAGTTTGGATTCAAAGGTACATGAAAGAAGGCATCCTGGAGATCTATTGTAACCATATAATCGTTTTGATGAAGTAGATTCTTGACCATTTCGATCGTCTCCATTTTGAAATGGCTGTATTTTTGACATAACGGTTTAAGTTTCATAGATCTATAACTGGATGAAGATCGCTAGTTTTTTTGGGTATAAGCAATAGGTTTGAAACAAAACATGAAACATTCATGTCCAAATGGCGTATCACTTTTTTGTCTAATAAGGACTGTATTTCTGAACATAAACTTGAAAATTCTGTAGGTTTGAAGTAACGTTTGGACATATGTTGTATAGAAATAGGTGGTGGTGTTGATCATATAGGCATATAACCTTCCAAAATAACTGATGTAACCCAGGATGAACCGAATAGCCGTAGCCATGAATGTGCACAGTATCTTAGATACCTTCCAATTTCTAATTCTAGATAAGGTACCTTTTCTGTTATTGTTGTTGTTGTTGTGATGGTGGGTGACTTCCTTGGTTCTGAAAGCCACCCTTTGTGGAGTTTCCCATAAATTGTTTGTGCGAAAAATTATTGTAACTACGAGTGTATACTTGGATGAATAGACGATTATGTGCCATAAAGTTTGGTCGATTGTGATGTGTTGTGTATGCTGGGACTGTTTGTTGACCTCTTTTTTTGTGCAATAGTGCCTTGTGGATAAGTTTATTAGTAGCGTTTTCTTTTTCAATAAATTCGTGGAGGCGTTCACCAAATACTTCTGAGTAATCCGCTTTTGGTTTATAGTTGAAAGAGATAAGTTTAAGGGCTTCATCTCTTCATATGTCATTGGTAAATGAAAGAGTATCCAATACCAAGGCTCTGGCCTGCAAAAGTGTAGTTTCAACCTCTTGCCATGCAGCCATAGATTCACCATCATCATTTTCTGGACATGATTCATAAGTGTTTCTAAGAAGATTATCAATTGGACGTAAAATGGTTGATGCACGATAAGCCACCTTTTGAAGCAGAGTGTCTGTATGTTTTGCTTCTTTTGACATGATTTGCCATAAAGGTGCATCCATGATAGGTGGTTTGAACGTGATAAGTTTATTGACAGGTTGGTTTTTGATAATATTAAAACGATCATTCTTGGAGAGTGTATTATCATGGTAAATGTCAGAAGTAAGCGAAAGCATTTCATTTGAAGGTTCCCAAGCTTTTGCTGTAGTATCCAAATGGTCATATTCCATTGTATCGTTCGAATCGTTATGAATGTTCGTATCTTGATTAATATTAGTATCATTATTGACAATATCCGTTTCTTGGGTGTCAATATTCATTTGATATAGTGAGAGGTGGGTATTAAGCGTGAACAGCTGCCAAATAAAAACGGCCTAGTAAGAAAAAGAGAAGTGCACTTAGGTATATATACAAAAAAAAAAAAAATTGATGACGTCATACTTGCATGTAAGAATAGACTCTAAAATTGGGCAGCTGATCAAATAAATTTGGCCAAAGCACGTGATTTTTATCTTACCGAAATCGGCGATATTCATTTCTAAAAAAGGTACGATTATTTTTTGAATCCACTGCGCAGCATACAGCATTATGCAAGCCAACCAGAATTATACTAGCTGGCCAGAATTAACTAACTGGCCAGAATTATGCTAGCTAGCCTGAATTTTAAAAATCACACTGCAATGGCTATCACACAATAATTTTCTGTAAGATCGGTATAATAAAAATGGGCTATAATATTTTATCGAAAACCAAATTTAATATGATAAGTCTTTTAATTCAATTTAACTATATAATATTTCTAGTAAATAGTGTAATTACCAGAAATAATAATATTGCATTCGTGTTAAAAAATATCTGTATAACAAAGTTCATCGAAAATATAGCACAAAGTATAGTATGCAATTCTGTGCAACTGATTGGACGATCGTTCCTCGTGATTTCATCATCAATAGAAACCAAGCAAATTAGTTTAGTTAAACTTTAAATTAAAATATCTTAACAATGATTAAACCAAACTTGATAAAATTTTTTTTATTCAAAGTTTAAAAAAAATTTACTTGGAAATAATTTGCTTGGTTTCTATTGACACCCCATATGATTTATATATTTATACACTATGTAATACTTTATTATACATCGATATATGCACTAAATTAAAATACCATTCAATGATGTGATTAAAAAAAAATGCACCTAATAGCGATTTCACTCTAAATTCATAGTACAAAATGCGGGTTTAAATTTTTAACCAACCGGAACAACTTTATAGAGAAAATTGGGTATAGCCTCAGGTTTTTTCGGCTTGAAGGTAGACAATTGAGAATAATATGAAAAATAACTAATGAATAATAAAATTCTAAGAAATTGATACTATCAGTGATTCATTACTACCTTCCGTTCCTTGTTTTGCGCGACAGCATCGCGCAGCTACCTTATTTATTAACCCTAAACTTGATGGGTATTAACCAATTGGTTGGGGCGGGACGATCGTTAGATCATTAATAATAAACTATGCTGTGCGTTATCTCTACTCTAAAAAAGTAATCAGTTGGACGTGAATTTTTATATTAGATTTTTGATTTTGGGAGGACAGACTAATTAGCTGACTATCTATGCAATTATCATAACTGCTGAATTGACTATTTATCAGGTCTAGTGACTAGCAAAAGGTCCAACTTGCATAATCCGCCGATATGAAAAACTTATTATGTGTAGATTACTGCGTAATGAAAAGTTTTGTTAACAAAATAATTTGCTCATGTATTTCTTAATTGATATACAGTATAACAAATCATCGGAATGGTTTCCTATAGTTGTAATATGTATTAACAGTAGGAAATCTAAAAATCTCAATACTGTAAGTATCTTTTTATGGAGATACGGAGAAAGTATGTAGAGTTGGCTAAACTATCGGCCTTAGGAATAGGTGTACGTACGTATATACTTGACGTGCAGAAAAATCTAATGTAGAATAATACGCAAACAAAAAACTCAATTTTTTTATTCGAATACAATTCATGATAAACAAAATATTTACCATGTATACTTTTTTTTCGGTACCAGGAACAAATGCCTCTGCACGCAAAATCTTGAAATTGATTGGTCCACATGACTTATTAATCATTCAATATTTTTAAAAAAATATAAATGAGCGCATACATCTGTAAATCGAAGGTACTATAACAAATGATAGTAAAAATAAGTTTTTTTAGCCACAAAAATTAGTGTCCCAATATAAATTTAAAGGCCTCACAATGCTAAATATTTGGTAGTTTTCATTTTTTTTCATCGAATTTTTTATCGGGCAGATAAAATGATAATCACTGATCGTCAAGGACACTTAATCGAAAGAATTTGTCGATCATTTCTAAATACAGATATGTTTCGTAGATTTTTAACGTTTTTTGCAGGGCCTCAGAATTTTGAGTCAGATTCATCGGAACTGAATGATGCTAGCTAACCAACTATATAGCAGTCAGACATTGACTTCATTAATAGGTTTTTAGGCTCAGTCACCGAAATTCAAACCAATATTCAGATTGCAAGTACTATCAACTTCTTTTATAAAGAGTCATTTTCTTATACCAGGAATGGATTGCAATGAAGAATATGGTTTCCTATGACTGAAATGGTTCCTGGTTTCGCGCGACAACGTTGCGCAGCTACTTATTTGGTACATATACAGATTAATTTGTGAATATCTGATATATTGACAAGCGTTCATGAGCGTCTAAACTAGGTATATGACAACTATAAACGATAAATGGTAATGAGGGGTCAATCCTTTATAACTACAAGCCCCATATTAACGCAAATGTAAATTAAGCGATAACATAACCGGATGGTTCAACAAAAAGGAAAGCAGGCGCTGATATTAAATAGGAAAAAAAATATCACGAGGCCCAATACATAATCGATGATTCCAACGAAATCACGATTAAAACAAGTTATAATTTGACGTATACAAAAGATACATGATAAATCGAATAATATAACACATAATAATCCTCGTTATAGTAAGATAACAAACTCATGCACACGTTAGTACACAAAGTCACCATCCAATCAGATGCTCAGATTCCGCGACTCCACTTAACTCACTACATGACCAACACTTCGTATTTCATACTCCGTTCCTGGTACACGACCTTATGTGCATTATACGAATGGGAATATTTCGAAATTTCATGATTCTAGCTCGCATTAGAAGCTAATACCTAGTTGTACTCTGCAATGACACCCTAAAATATTTCGCTATAATTTCGCAGATTTTAAAAATCAGGTGTAAAACAGAAGAATGAAAAAAAAATCAAAAAATCGTTCATAACTCTAGATTTTACCTATTAAACTGCCTTCTGCGCACTAATTAAAAGTTTTCTCATGAAATTTTAGTATTAATGAATACTTCCTAACATAGCTTATAAAAAATTTTAACCAAAGTTTTTCAAGTTGGCGACTCTAGGGTCTTAATCAGAAACCTAAATGCTTTTGTGTTTCCCATAGGCCTTAAGCTTTCATTTAACTCATTTTTATTAAATTTTTAAAAATTTACAAGTTTTATATATAAAATGGTTAACACAAATTCGATTATCATGTATAAGAGTTTTTTAACACAAATTAGGCTATAAGTTTAAGAATTTTTAACACAAATTAAGTTAATAGGTTTAAGAGAGGTTGTTTTTGATGTAAAACATTTTTGCATATAATACCTCGCACTAATAAGTTGGCCTGTTTTTGAGATAATATATAAATGTAAAATGCCATAAGTGTATTTTAGAAAAAGTGAAGTTAATTGTCGTTTATACTAAATTTACATTTAATGCAAATAAACTATGTAAACTGATATTAATATAATCAATTTAATTCTAATTTTCTATGTCTTACAATTTTTCTCCTCATTTATTTTTCAATTACTTCCAATTCATAAGACTTGCTAGCTATAATAGCTATAAAAAAATAATCAAATAATGCTATATAAATGTTGTAAAATTAAATATTACATCGTATTAAAAACCCAAATTTATATTTACCTTGATCTTTAAAAGTATTATTACGCGAAATAATCATTCTTTTATGAGTTGATTCAATATTTACATTAATATCTTCATTATTTATATTTTGTAGTACCTCATCAGATTCTGATAATTCTAATAAAATACTTTCACTATTTTGCCATTCAGTAAAAATATCACAAATCTCAGTTGCAGTTGGTCGTTTTTCTGGCTCTATATTCCAACATTGCTTCATTAAATTTGCATAACAATTTGCTGTATTTTCGTTTATAGGTGGTCGAAAGCCATTAAATACTTTTAATTGAAATTGTAAATCGGATTGTGATTGGGAGTTTTGCTCAAAAGGAACAGGTTTGCCATATAAAACTTCCCACATTATTATACCAAATGAATAAATATCTGAGGCTTTAGTATATAGTCGTTTGTCTAATACTTCCGGTGCAATGTATGGTAAAATTCCATAAATTCCATCAGATTTTGAAGCAATACTAGTAGTTATTGATAGTCCTAAGTCAGCAATATATGCACTTTTCATGCTATTAAGTAGTATATTTCCACTATGTAAATCACGATGAATAATATCATGAGAATGAACTATTTGAAGGTCATTTGCAATACATTGTAATAGGTTCAATTTATCTTCCCAATCCATTTGTGCTATGGTGCATAGATTTTGACGCAAACAGCCTTCTGAAGCATATTCCATAACAAGAATATAATCTTTAGAAATGTAATCTTTTGAAATACCAAAACATTTTAAAAAAGTTGGATCTTTAAGACCAATATCACAATATGCTTTTAACTTATTAATAAAAAAAGAAAAGTATATTCAATGTTCGATCTAAATAATAAAACATGAACAATAACAATAAAAAATAATATTACCTCTTTTATAAATTCATCATGATAATTTTTTGAATTATGAAGCAATTTAAGCGCAACAGGTCTATTTAAATTTTGACTTGGGTCATACCATCTAGCGTAATACACAGTTGCAAATCCACCTTTACTTTTCTCTTTAATATCTTGAAATTCATTGTAGGAAATCCATGATAAATGATATCTATTTTCGATCAAGATTATTTTCAAATCATCTTTAATTTCAGAGTCTGCGTATATCCATTCGCATGCAGCTGATAATTAGATGTAAAATACAATTAAATTTAATCAATGGCAATATATATAATCAATAACAATATATATATTTAACTATAGAATATTACCTGATGTTAGATCGTTTTCTCTAAATAATGATTTTAAATATATAAAAAAAATTAAGAGTGTTTAGTTTACATTTATCGAATCGCAAGATCAGGTGTAACATTATACGCTTTCTCTTTGCGTATTAATTTTTTTTAAAAAAGCATTGACCATTGATCGAAAAGGTTTCATATTATCATTCTGTCCTCATTCAATCTAATTCTAAACTAATGCAGTCAACTATCAATATAACAGAGAACTGGATTAGCTAAAAATCTCGTTATATATATTTACTATACAGTAAAGGGAATAGTTGACAGATCCATTTCGATTTAGTCATCAGACGATACGATATATTAAGTTCATTACATGGGTTATGCAAATATGACTTTAAATTTTGGAACAGATTTGGTTTTCGTACTCAAAACTAATTAAAATAAAATCGATTCCAAAACTCTAATTTTAGTTACAATTACAACTGATCTTATGATATAAATTTGTACTTATACGAACACAATAATTGAACGTTGAATTAAACTTACTTTTGGTACCAATATTTTGCTTTTTCTAAGTCTCTTGTCACACCAATTCCATTTCTATAACACTCTGCAACTTTTGACATTCCGGAAGCATTCCCTATCTCTGCAGTTTTTTGATAATTAATGAATGCTTTATATTCATCCTTTTCAACACCGATTCCATATTGATAACATTTTCCAACATAGTATAGTCCTATAGCGTTCCCCATTTCGGCAGATTTTTGATAATAATTGAAAGATTTACGTTCATCTTTTTCAACTCCAACACCATATTGATAACAATATCCAACTTCAGATATTCCATTTGGATTACCCATATTAGCAGACTTTTGATAATAAGTGAATGCCTTATAATCATCCTTTTCAACTCCAATCCCATTTCGATAACATGTACCAAGTGCAAATATTCCATTAGAATCATTCATTTCTGCAGATTTTTGACTATAAATTAATGCTTTATTTTCATCTTTTTCAATCCATTTACCATAAACATAACAACTTGCAATGATAGCTTGAACCATAGAATTGGTCGGATTGTTTAAACAATAATTAATAAGATTATCTGGATTTTGGTTCTTTTTTATTAAAAATTGATCTATTGAGTTAAGAATTGAACAGGGACTTTGACCTTTCAACCTCTCTTCATAGTATAGATTACATATTTCTTTAATTATTTCATCAAAAAAGTCTTGTAACTTGTTATCTTTTAAACGCGGTCGTGTAACATCGTTGGCTACCTTATTGACATCAGGCAAATTATCGATTTTTCCCAACTATTTTAAAATAAGTTATAATAAATTGTAATTTTGAAACAAGAAACATAAATCATATGAGAGTAAAACTTGTTTAGATTACCTTCTTAGATTTTTTGCATCGGTTAATACTTGATTTTCTCAGTGTTCTCAAAGAACGCTTAATAAGTTTCATAATCATGAATTGCTAAAAAAACTGATATACGAGAATTCACGATTTTTTTTTTTGCTTAATATCAAAAAATTTTAAACGTTGAGTATATGTGACTCAACTTTATATTCAATCGCGATTTTAATAAATGATCGCTTATATTACAAGTGATCCACCCTTTTTATGCCGATCTATATTTGACGTTAATATAATTTTAGATATCGTCCTGTGCCAATCGTGTTAGAAGCGACCACGATGTTTGATGAGTCATATTAAATTAGTAAAGATATACCATATATAAATAGATGACGTTTAAAGTAGATTTGCTTTTTCTTTTTACATGTGATATTTTAATTTGATTTATTAGAGTATACTCATAGAGATTTTCTGAAAACGTCATTCGATAATCTTAATGACAAATGTGCTGATTTTATAAGTACGATCACATGAAATTTGGAGGGATGGTTCCGTTCATTTTTTTTGATGTTCGCTATGCTCATTGTTGCAAAATCTTTTTTTGGTATAGTTAGTGAATTTCATTTTCCTATTATAAGGGATGGATAAAGCCGTGATTTTGACGGTTTAAACGTTTAAATTAAAATTAAACTTATGATTAGAGTTGGTTAGGTGTTGATATAAGATGAGGAATATGGTATAATTGTCTTCTCGACATTTTTAATTAGTGCCCCAAGACAGGTTTAGACTGCCGTTTTCGTCTTTTTGCGGTTTTTTTTATTTTTTAACTTCTCCGGGCCGATCCGTGTAAACAAAATCTTGCAATTCCGATTGGTTGATTTACGCAAAAAAGCATGGGTACATGGCTTTATGAGATCCACTATCATAGTAAGTTTATCAGTTTTCTCACACGTGACTAACACGTAATTTGTTGCTTTAACCTTTTATAGACTGTTTTGTGAGGATTGCATTGTCTCATTAGATGCAGGTTTTTCTTTGTTAGAATTATGAACACATATGTTATTAAGTGACAAATAAGTGTTAGTTAATTGGTAATAGTATGGGGTCAGTTTAAGCTGGTGCGGAAGGAAAAGAACATATTCGTAAATTTAATGTATTCAAGGAAATTTTTTGATAGAGGAAGATTATCTCTTTCTTTGCTATTGCTCACCTCACAGTGACATCCTTTCATTCTAATCATTTTGCAATAATCTTAATGCTTGGTAGTTAGCTTCTTAGATTAAATGTGTTAGTAGGTAAAATCAGACTTTATGGTTGTTTTGTAGTAATTAAATTTGGATAACAATGATAGTATAAGAATTTTACCAGTTAGGTATTTATATTTATAGGAATGCAAGAAACCTTGGTTTTATACTAAATGATTACAATCATTGCACAAGACCTTTGTTAAATGGATTATAGTTCTACAGCTAAATATTAGAGCAAGGATCTTTTTATTTAAATCAGCAATATTTACATCAAATTATACTATATAGAGAACTTTTTGACAGATTTTTCTATATATATGTTTATAAATCATAGTAGGTTAGGTTGTTATAAGTAGTATTTTATGAAATTTAAATACATGAGAGGAGAGTTTGTGGCTAGCAAATCTAATACTAATATTGTTTTAGAGAAATAATATATTATTAAAAATAGAGGCTATAAAATTATTGCTTACTTTTCTAAATATATTTTTCCGAAATACTATTTTATCAAAATTGTAATATTATGCTTAAAATTTATTTGTTTGAAGTTACTAATTTAGATATACTAACCAAAATTAATCTCTAAATTAGATCCTTCTTTCATGTATTAGTTAATTTTATAGGTACTTGAAGTTACAACTTCAAGCAGATACTAACTTCAAGAATAACAGTAATGCTGATAATAAATAGGCAATGTCATTTTATTAAATATTGATTAACTTATAAGTTTATTTTACTACCAAAATTATTTTACTAATAGTCATTTTACTAAAAAAATAATTCTGATCGTCATTAGAATCAGGTTTAGAATTAGAGTTATGATTAGTGCAATTTTTAAAAAACCTATCAATGAAATAACTGTCAGTGAAATCAGTGAAATAAACTTATTAATTAATTGAATTTTGGTGAAATGAAGTTTGAACATAAAACATAACACAAATAATAAACCATTTCTTATGCAGGTTAAATAAATTAAATTTAAAATAACAAACTCCTATGTGTTTTTCAATAAAGTCATCTGTTACATTATTTTGATCATACATCCATCTGTTCTAGCATTACTAACCTAAAAAATTTTGCTAAATAAATTCACTGCTAGATTGGGATTAGGTTTGCTATTAATTTAGATTTGAAAAAGCTTTTCTAATACCAGAAATTCACAAAAAAACTTTTTGTTAACACGCAAAGGTAGTTAAAATGTTATGACCGGTTTATTTCATCGCCTTATCTTAAAATCTGATTGGGCGCCGAATTTTTCTTAGGTTGACATTTCCTACGCCCTGATGACAAATTCTGTATCTATTTAAACCAACTTATGTCAATCTAGCATATATGTATTTTCTAGTTAGTGATCGTACTGGTTCTGTGCGGCACCACGTACAGCGCACCTACCTTATTAATATTTATGCAAATCAGTCCCCAAAATTAATTTGATTCCGGCCAAATTTGCAAATCATTTGGCGTACATTCAAATCAAACGATGAATTAGTGTTTTGCAAAAAAGAACCGGTTGAAACCCACTTTTAGTGGACACAAAAGTAGTGTTTCACAACAAAAATCGTATGTATGATAATGTGGAAGAGCCACACTAGAAACACATTTACTTTGTATCTCCCACATTACTGTCATCAGTAGTAAGTCTTTAAAGTCACAGGATCCAGATCCGGAACCGAAAACTTTGCAGAACTTGCTACTAGTGACAAGCACGTAAAATACAAAATGAAGCCCGTTTCTGGTGTAGTTTTTCTCACACTATTATATATACGATCTTCAGATGTATGTCCACTAAAATGCTAGTTCCAACCGGGGTAATGCGGACAGTGTTTTTTTTTGGTCTGGTACTTTATGTATAACATGATAAAATTACATGTAATGTAAAATTGTAGTTTATATGACACAACCCTACATATGAATGCTATTCAGGCAGAATATCCAACTGTTTTAACACCTGAGATAGCAACATTGATATCGCGAATTACTTTTCTATTCCTTATTCTAGGTTATAGAATTAATATTATTTTAGACTATATGCGCGGGACCAGTACGACCAAATACAATATTTGTAAATAAGCTTCATAATAAATATATTTACTAAAAAACGTAGATCCAGGGGAAATTGTCCGCAAATGTCATTCTCTGAACCCTTGTTTTGATCAGTATAGTACGATATACATTAAATATTACAATCGAGCTTAATAAATAGTTTAATGCTTATCATATATTTTCAGCATTCTAAGTTCCGTTTACAAAACATTTTCTGTCTAGTTGGATTAAAGAAAAATGATGATTAGATGATGACATGTGCAGAAACATTCTAGGGGTGTAAATCGATTATAAAAGCTATAATCGGTGATCAAATTCCCTGAAATCGAAGATCGGATCCTAAATATTATTGCACTTGGTAAAGATGTAACCTTGTGATTTTCGTGATGATGACAGCAGAACTTTCCAATTTTCTAAATTGCCTACCAATCATATTTTTCAATTGTACTTATTTGGAAACCTTTACAGTTGTTAGAGAATCCAAAAAATCTGTCAAAAACTAATATGGGTGCTGACAAGTGAAAACCTGACATTCTAAAAATAGATTTCTACGGACAACGGAATACGGACTTTAAATGATACTACTATGTGATCAAAAAAACAGTATAATTCATTATTATAGTCACCGTTGTCCATAGAAATCTATTATTAGAATGTCAGGTTTTCAGTTGACGGCACCCATATCATAATCGAAAATTATTTTCATGCCCATAATTTGTGTATCTAGCCAATCAGGTAATCACAAAAACACGTGTCAAATTTAGGAGCATGAAATTAGACTAAAACCATTAGGGGAACAAAATAATTTTCGTAAATCTGCAGAGGTTATGCATTTTTGCAAACCGTCATAAATAACCCTGTGAAAAATTTTATTTGAAATATTTTCCATCATATCTCCTTATTTTTGTAATCTGCAGCATAAATTAGTAGATTGAACAATTTTCATCATTTGAAGTATCCCTTAAACAGTTAATCTAATTTAAAATATACCACGAATATAGATTACAATCCAATAAATTTGTAGGTAAATTTGGTTTAGGGGATAAATTCCATAAATATTCAACATTTAGAGAATAGGATCAGTTTATGGATTCATGAATGGTATCGCATTCTTTACCACTATCTATTTTGTAAGTGGAAATAGAATTTAAGTGGATTCGGAATTTTTAATGATGATCATCGTGACCTCTATATATAAAGTTACTTTAAAAAAAGGTGGTGGGGCTTTTTAAACATCCAGTATATACATCCTAGTCCTAATTTGACTAGAAAGTTCCCACTTACGGAATCTATACTGTGCCTAACAAATCGGCATTATGTAAGCAATGTCGATCACATTAAACTGTTCAAAATGTCTATGAAATCATATAAATATCTCATTTACAAAGAAAGAAGTGGGAGTACTAGCCCCTAAATTTACATATACGTATATATTTAGAATAGAATTATTTGGATTTAGAATCTATTTGAGTTGAAACAGAATTTTAAATTTCACCCAAGCTAATACAATATCTAGGATTATACTATATCGTTAAATTTAGTACGCACAGTAACTCTTAACGTAATCACAGTAACTTTTGATATTGATATGACCACAGTAACTCTTAATTAAAGATTGGACTCGTGTAGAAATTGTTGCTATATGATAACCGAAATACATAATAATTTACCCGGATAACTCGGGTAAGGATTTTCTCAAAGGGTCCAATATCTACTCATAATTATATAAATATTGGTCATACAACGATTAATATCATCGCATGATCCAATATCGATGTTATTGTGCAATTATTTACAACTTATTTACAACTCGTGGTTGGCTATCTGAGTTTAATTTGAGATTGTTGTGCTTATGTAATAACATACAAAAAACAAGATTTGCACGATAACTATTGTCATGGGCCAGAAAAACGTGACGATTCGTGCGTAACGATACGTAGCACGAACGACGATCGGGGCCCAAGGATCAATTATGCACGATCGACCCCATGACGGTGAAACGTACATAATCGTGCCCCAAACGCCCAAACAATCCCAGCATGACGAATGTGACCAAAACGGGAAGGCTTTTGATCGTGGATGCAATGTTTCAGAGTGGCGGGATCCAAATATTAAGGGGACGGGTTAGTATAGTTGTAATAAAAGTAAAACCAGCAAAATCAAATACTTACCCGGTTTAGGTGAAACCCACGATGGTATTACTGTGGGAAGGTGGAATGGTGAGAAAATAGGAAGGGAAGTTAAAAATAAATAAAAGTTGTTAGTAATATGGAAATTGTATAAAAAGAAGGTAGAATTTTAATAAAGTTACCTATCTTTTAGTGCTCCAAGTAGTGGGAAAGGGATCGAAGTTCCTGAGTAGTGGTAGTTTATAATTTGTAAGATAGTTAGTTAGGTATTAAATAAAGAAACCTAAGTAAAATAAAGAAATTATAATTTAAATACTTGCCAAATTGAATCCCATACCTTGAAGTCTTGACTGCTGATTTCATGCCATTATGCGAAGTCTTGTCCATTGAAGTGACAGACTTGCCACTTATCTGTTGCACTATATATTATTGTATGAGGTGTAAAAATACATATATGGGTGCCTCAGGTATAATTAGAATATGACTAAAATGTACTTATTCTACTATACTCCAGGAGAATTGTAGCTTCTAAAATTATTACAAATACTATAAAACAAATATAATATGATAATTTTAAATAAAAAATAATAAGTTTGAAATAAATAAATAATTTTGTTTATACATACTTTTGTAATATTAAATAAGAATTAAAAGAGTAATAAATTTATATTTCAAAGCAATTGTTTTAATAAACTAAGTACCAATACAATAAAAAACAAGTTTGTTTAAATTATAAATATATAAATTTAATATAATGCTCAGTATTATAACTTTAATTAAATCCATAGCATTATTTAGTGAAATTACTATTATTACCATCTTTTACTATTAAAAATACCTAGGTTTCTTACTATCTACACTGGTTTTTCTTAATTTATAACCTATATATACTATTATATATTGGAGGTACATATTATAAAACAATTTGTCTAATAAAAGATCCTCTAAGCTTTTGTTTTATATATATTGCAAATATTAAATCTTGTTTAATTTGTCATATTTTTAGCAATCAATCTTAAAACTTTTTAACAATTAATTCTCTAAGTTTATAATAGTCAATTCTCAAGGTTTATAATAGTCAATTTTCAAAGTTTTTAATAATTAAAATTATTTAAATATGGAACAAATAAGATATATGCCTATGATAAGACTTCAAATAAAAAACATCAATAGACATATATAAAAAACTTTATATTTTTGTATATCTTAATAGGTAGCAATAAGAATTCTAGTTGTTTCAATTCTATTAATTAATTAGTTTTTTTACAATAAATATATAAGCAGAGTTTTAGATATTATTGTTTATAGTATTGCTGATAAATTTGGAATTTAGCTAAAATAAATACAAAAATTACATAGTAAAAAACAAGATCTTATATTTGCTTAATCTTATATTAAGCATTTAAATAGTAGTCTAAATTTGCTTATTCTGAACTTGAATTAGAACTTGTTGTATAGTTAAAAATTTATACAGTAATTTAAAGTTTATTAGTATTTTATAATACAAGTAAAAGTAGTTAGTTTAGCTAGTTTACTACAATATACAAATTAGTTTTTTTATATTAGTTTATTTAAATAAAATAATAAATTGTTAAATTGTTTTATGCATTATTATAAATTTAGTAATTATTACAAAACTATAATTATATAATACTTATCTACAAATTGAAAAACTAAGCAATAAGAATTTTTAAGTCTTATTTAATATCATTATATTTAAGTTAACTATTTGTTATTATTAATCAAAAATATAAAAAAAATAATGTTTATTTTTAATATATCAAATAATATTATAGATGATAGTATAGAAAATATGACAGTATTATATTTAAAAAATTGTAACTCAGTTGCTTTACAATTCAAAATCTTATTAACATATAATAAATAATCTTTATAAAAGTATTAGATTTTGCTAGTAAGTAATTAATACTTTTAGTTATTTTGGATTAATAAATACAATTAGGTTAAATTATATGATAAAGAACTTAAATAAATAACAAAGTTTTATAAGATTTATAGATTTTGTACTAAATATAATGTTAGTATTTTATTATAGATAATATAATATATTAGAACTTGTAATTTAATATGTAAATAAAATATATCACTTCTAAGCCTATTTTGCTCTTTATTTATAATATTATATTTGTTATTTAAATGTAATTTTGTACTTATTATTACTTTAAAACTATTTAATGTTATTTACAATTATGTATTTAATTTTTCTAACAATATTTTATTTTTTTAAAGATATGTAATTTATTTTTATATCTTTCTTTTTTTATCTCTTTGCATTTGATATACTATTCCTAATCACAAATATAACTTATTATATTTTGTATATTTTTTATATAATTAATCATAAAACTTTAGTATTATAACAGTTAGTATTAAAACTTATAAATATAAAAAATTTAATTTTATTATAATTCTTAATTGTATAGTAAATAAAACTAAATTACTACTAATAGTTATTTTTAAATTAAAAAATATTTTATGATTTAAATTTATATTATATATAATTATTCATTCTAATAAAATGAAGCAGACAAATACAAAGAAAATAATTTATTGAATTGACTATAAATAAAATTATTATATATAAAATACTAAAAATTTATAATTGTTACTTATTATAGATTTTTTCTAAGCATATATAGTATTTTTTATTAAAAATTATATTTTAAAAAATATTAATTTTATTGTTATTTTTAGAAACTTAATGCCAAAAGTTAATCTTTTAATATTGCAATTAATAAATTATTTAAGTTAAATATTTATTTTATAAAATTTAATTTTAATTTAATAGATTAGCATATTTTATAATAATTAAATGTTCTAATAAATAAAAAAATTAACTTTACAAATAAAATTTAATATTCAGTTTATAATATTATTACTAAATAGATTAAAAATCTATAAAATTCTATTAATATACAGCTTATTTTAATATTCTTTTAAATATTGTAATATGTTAATAATAATAAATAGATTAAAAAAAGATATTATCTTTGATTATAATAGTTTTTTTTAAATTTTAGTAATACTGTTAGTTAGTTTATCAGGCTTAATTTTTATATTACAATTATAGTTATAAGATTATTTAGTACTATATAGCT